ATTAAAGTATATAGATTTACTTATTCTTATAATAAGAATAAGAGTTGGTTTAGATCATAGATAAAATTATTTGAGCTTTAATTCTTGCATATAGTTTTTATTTTATACTATACAATCTTAGTATATCTTAATATTTAGTATATTAATATATACAACAAAAATTACTAATAAAGATATGAGCAAAACCTCATCTTAATACTAAAAAAAAATAATAAAAATAAAAAATAAGCAATAAGAAATATTAAGAAAGACTTTATCAACTTTAAACATTTAATTAAAGTTATTAGTAACAATAATATAAGCAAAAAAATATTATTATTATTTTTGTTTAAGATTATTAACTATAAATATATCTATAAATATTACAATATTACTAACTAAAAAATTAATATAAGTTTAATTAAAAAGATAAAAATATTTTTAGCATACTATCTTAAAATTCTTTTTAGTTATTTAATACTTAGTAAAACCATGTATTAGAGATTTAAAATTCTTTTTTGTAAATATATTATAATTATTATAATATAAAAAAGCATATTTAATTAGATTAATAAAATCAAATTAATCAAAAAAATAAAATTTTACAGAAAATATTTTTAAATACAATCAGACCTTTATATAGTTACATCTTATATAGTCACACCTTTATATAAGTATATAAAATTATAAAACAAACTTTAAATATAAGAAATAAACCTCTTTATAGTCATAAATTGCATATAATTACTGTTACTATAAAATTGAATTTTTTTAGTCAATTAAAATATAAATTATTAAATTTAATTAGTTAATATTTATGTATATATATATTTATATTAAAATTATTTAAATATTTAATAATGAATTCTTTTAATCTACTAAACCAATTTGCATAAAATAATTACTAAAATATTCATTAAAAATGAGCTAATTTTAATAATACAAAATTACTAAAATCTGATTATATAATTCTAAGATTATTAATGATTTATATTACTTTAGATATTTAAAGACTAATTTTTAAATATCTATAGTAATAAAATTATTAATGATCTTAGAATTCTGTAATCAGATTCTATTAATTTTGTATTCATTAAAATTAGCTTATTGTGATGAACTTTTAGTAGTTATTTTATTTAAATTAGTTTAATAAATCAAAAAAATATTTATTATTAAGAATTTTAGAATTGTAATAATAAATTTTAATATGTGCAGATGTTATAATTTAATTAGTTATAAATTATGTAATTATAACTTGAAATTTTATTTATAATTACACCTTTATACAATTACCAAATTAAGATGCAACCAACTTGGTGATTATATAAATTTCTAACTATATATATATAACTTTGATTCATAGTATAAAAATAGTATAGTTGAAGTAAGTAATTTAAAATAAAAAATTTGATAAAATAATACATTATCTATCAATAATGATAATAATATTTATAGCAATATACTTGAAATATAAATAGTAAGAATTTTTAAAAACTTGTTTTAATTATTAAATAAGTTAAAAAAAACTTTGATAGAGTTAAAAAAATCTAAAATTTCAAATAAATAATAGAAATTTCTAACATTTTTGTAACAATAATGTTACAATTAGATCAATAATAAAAAAAGGTAAATAAAAACATACCCAAATACAAATATTACAAAAGCAAATTTAAATATAATATACTATTTTAACAAATAATATAACTGCAATGCAATGCAATACAATAAATATAAAACTTAATTTAGGACAAAATAATAAGATGACTATAAAAAGCCTACTATAAATCCAGCAAACATGATAAATCATCTGAGCTAAATTAACAAAACAAATAACAAATAAACTAATTTAGAAAAATTAAAACAAATTATATAGATTTATTGTAAGATTTGCAAATCGATGTTATCACTGAGCTAAATTAACAAAACAAATAACAAATAAACTATTTTAGAAAAATTAAACCAAATTAAATAGATTTATTGTAAGATTTGCATCACTGAGCTTTTATAATATCACAGAAATATTAACACCATCAACTCAAATTTCAAGGTTGCAATATTGTATAACAAAGATCTGTTCAAAGTTTCGTTGAAATAGATAAACTTAGTATCAAATTGGTTATTATTTATTTAAGACAATTTCTTATAAAAAAAAATAAATAAATAAAAAAATAACTAACCAAACAACGAAATTTAAACAAAAGAAATAAATGAGAAATGATTTTAGGATAAGTTTGCAAAAAAAAGGCTAAGCAAAAAAAAATACTGTGCTAAAATTATCTATGAAGCAATCAATATCTCAGTCAACAAATAATAATCTAACCATTTCAGAAAAGAAAAAGTTTAATTTAAAAAACAAATAACAAGAAAATTTAGTTAGTATTTATAAATAATTCTAATCAATTAAAAATTAAAAAATATATATATAAATTTAGCTTAAAACCACAAGTCTAATTTCCTTGCACAATCTACAGCTCGAACACATGTCAATGTGACATATAAAAATTATAAATACAATCGAATACGATATAAAATCTCAGAGGCTTTCTCAAATCAATCTGATTATTCAAAATAGATCTGACCCGCTCATATAGAACATATATAAAATTTTTAGACAAAAATCTTTATCTAGCAGTCAAAAAGGAAAGATGGCTAATCGCAACTAATGAATAACAATAAACCAGAAGTTACACTGTCAATCACTGTCTTTTATTAGAAAGGATCAATGCAAAAAAAAAATTGTAGAGGGTTAAATCAATAAAAATATAATAATATAATATATAAATTTTTATAATCTCAATAGCATATCTTAATAAATATATTTTTTAATTAAAGTAATATAAATATACTAAGCTAAAAGAACCTATTTCTTATATATATATATGTAAAATAAAAAACTTATTATTAAATATTTAAAAAAACATTTTATTTATATTGAAGAACTATTACTATTATTAGTTTAATTGTAATGACAATATATAATTATCAAAGAAAAATATTATTGACAGTTTAATATAATAAAATTTTACATAACTGAATAAAATTAATATATTAAATACATATTTATTTATAACTATTTATATTTATTTATTTAATAGATAATGCACAAAATTAGCATAATCAACATTAGAAAGAATCATTAAGTACATTATTAAATATGTTTTTTATAAACATATTAATTGGAAAATAATATAATAAGAATATAAATGATAAATATGTTTATAAATATCCCACAGGATTTTAAAAAACTGCGATTTGCCCATCACTAATTATATCTGTATCTACATTTGACACAATTTCAAAGTTTGCTTTTTAAGCCTTATAATATATCTCCCATTCCTGGCTTTGCGTAACTGCATTGCTTATTAAAATAATTTCACATAACAATTATATAAAATCTATAAATAAAAGTGTTACTAATAAATTGATTGGCCGAAGGATATTTACAGTAAATAAAGTACATCGTATATTGATATCACAAGCTATGCTTGTATTATACTGTACTTATATAGCATTGATTTTCAAACTGTTCTTTGTTTTTTTTTTCATTTTTAACTGTCTTTTTTTCTTCCTCTTTTAAATTATATTTAGTGTTCATACACAGAACTTTACTTATTTGCGCGAGTAATGCAAGAGAACAACAAATAACGATAAGTTCATATAACCTTAAAAAAATATATAAGAGATTAGAGTACGTATATTGGCTCATTCTGTGTGATATATAAATGAGATGATATAAAATACGATTAGTGAGTAGTTAAGGCAATTAATAAAATAATACAAATAAATAATTATAATAGGATTAGCAAACTCTAATATTTATTTTCTCCCACATTTTAAATAGTTAGTTTATTCATTGCTTCTTTTCTATTCATGTTTACTCTCTAGCAAGCTTAGCTTATATAATGCTGATACGTAAGATATTAACATTAGAGCTATAATTAATAAAATAATAATTTAAAGTTTATTAAAAAATATTTCAGTTTGCATTTTTCTCTAATTAGGCCTATCTCAAAATATATTGTGGCACAGTATGGAGTTAGTAAATGCATATTTACTTTTTTTCCAAAATATTTTGAGTTTAATAAAAGAATTTCATTTTTAAACTCATTTACAATATCTAATCTCAATTCCTTATTGACTATATCATTATTGATTCTGTCATACTGAAGTTGATATTTGCCTAAATTGCAACTCCAGATACCTGGTTTTGTCCTGGTTTTATCCTAGTGTTGTAATTGTCTAATATTAAATTTTGTACACATTAGTTGGTAATTTTAGGAAACTATAATTACAAGTTTATGAAATTACAATTTCAAGCTAATTTTGGGCATGACAATTATTAAAATAAATAAATCTAATTGACAAGGTTTGTTTTATAAAACATCACCCAAATAAATCGCAAAAAATAAGCTTGGTACAGAGTTAGGGACAAACAATGTAACAATATATTCCATAATTATTGCAAATATCTTTGCATAAAGCTCATTGTATTTATAATTAGAATTTTGAACCCTATTCTTTGTAAGATTTTGATTTACACCAATTATATTCGATGTTTTCATTTTTCTTTGTTTATTTATTTCTGTAGGACAGGATAAAGTTTCTTATCTATAATCAATCTGGTGATTTTTGGAATCATTATTACAGTATTATCCCTTGCGGCTATTTATTTCAATATTTTTTAATCAAATGCCAAAATGGGCATGCCAAATGGAATATTATACATATTATTATCTAAAAAGTACAAATTAGTCCTTGCTTTGTAATAATATAGAATCCTTGGCAAGCTTGGCAAATTATACTATTCTCTGTAAAACTTGTTGCATTTCAAAATAAAATTTGTATTTAATACCTCGCTTATGAACATTATACAACACAGCTTTTTTTCATCTTAGATTTTCAAATTTATGTATTTAAAGGTTTGTTTGACTTAACATCTTCAATATAAAAGTTATTAGTCATAAAGATCATTTAATTTCAGCAGTTTCTTATTATTTGGTTTTTTTTCTTAGCCTATCATGATGCAATTTGAAAGGAAAGCTTTGATAATTGTGATATTGTTTATTTACATTATTTTGAGTGTTAATGCTCAAAATTTGACTTGCCAGATGATGATGTGCACTAGACCAGACAATATTGAAGCTATTGCTACATATACAAATGCAAATGAATTAGCAGATGCAGAAGGTCATATGGCATCTAATTGCCCAGGAGTAACTAATATCATCAAATGCGATATTAGTTGTACTGGGCCATATAACCCTAGAAATTTATCCACATATTATATTTGGAAAAAGTGTGCACCTCAAGCTGCCTGTGTATATTAAGATTGTGGTTCTTATAATAAGGCCTTATGTGACATAAGTGTACTGAAAATATGTTCAGAAGGAAAGGATCCAGATTATTCATTTAATACTTAGTGGTAGTTTTCTCAACAATATCTAAAATAATTTAGACTTATTAAAGATTAGATGATCATTGTTGTCTTTTTTTGTTTATATTTGTTTATATTTCCATTGCAAAATACTTTTAATACGTATTGTTTTATGATTAGTTACTCTAAATAAAAATGTAAAAATATTAAAAAATAAATCATCTGGTTGATATATTTAACTAGAGATGACAAAATATGCATTTTCAGAATAATACACATTATTTATTAGTAATATAGTTTTCTACTTTTAGAGTTGGATCTATCTCGACAGTTAACCTGCATTTTGTGTTAACTCAGTTTCTGTCAGGAAAGTACTGTTGGAAATGATAGAAATGTCAGAGTTCATCTGTAAAATATTTACTAATCCTAAAAAAAAATATAATAATATATTTTTTAGACAATTTATTAATTATTAGAGCTTTAACATGCTTTGGACACTCTTGGACACTTGGTCATTTGGACATTGGACATGGTCAAAAAGCCTTGGATGGTAAAAAATGCACAAGACTAATCTGTAATAATTTGTGCAAGCCAATTATCGATCGTTTCAGCATTTTTTGTAATAGGATTACATGAAAAAAGCTTATATTTATAAACCGCAAGTAAAGGTGAGTGCTGGCGACCCTCTGTAACATTACTTGTGCCAATTTTGGTCAACTTCTTTACTAGATAGAAATTTACTATGTTTTTTTAAGGACCTGTGGCACTTCTATATTGAACGATTTTAAAAGTTTAAAATTCTGTTATATCCAGAGTTCGTTACAAAGAGAGATCCATTATATCCAAGTTTGACTATATAAATAGCTTGCATAAGAATAATATAAATGAATAGTACCTTTACTAGTATTTCTTTAACATTACAGCACTTGAATCACATTTGTTAATGCTTAAATACTTTAAAATTTTCTATTAAAGTAGGTCGAAATTGCTGCATTAATCGTGACAATAATTTATTTGACTGAATGCAAAGCATAATTTTTTGAGAAAATTACATATAAGGTCCGAAAAAGAAAATATTTACAAAATAAGGGTTCAAAGTTAAAATGGTTACATATAAGGGCCCAAATTGTGAAAAAATTACAATAAGTGTCCAAATTTATTGTAACAAATTAGATTGAAAGTTTTAACATTTAAAATTATATACAGTAAATATAATTTTTTTAACAGTCAAGCATATACATTACCTTTTAATTAGTATCGTATTTACTCTATTAATGTCTTTATATAAAAATTATAAAAGTAAATTAAATTTCTTTATGAATACACATGAGTTCTTGTGATTTTAAATATTAATTCATAGTATTTGAAGACTTTATAGTCATTCTTTTTAATACTAATTCTATTATGATTTCTGTTGTTATCATTGTTGTTATCATCATTGTTTTTATAGTTATTAAATGCTGAACAGTTATCTTTTTTAACTTTATTTCTATTTTTTTAACAATATTCAACTTTATATATTCCATCAACAGGCCTAATTTCTGCCAATTTTTTGGTAATAAAAGAGTGCCTTAGATTCATTTATTTTAGCAAATTTTTGGTTAGAATCAAAGCTAGATCTTTATCTTTTCAAGTTTTATTTCAACCAAGTTATTTTTCTGTTAGGTTCATCTTCATATGAGAATTTCATATTTAGCAACTAGTTGTTGAAGAAAATAGTCTATATTAGCTTTTTCTTTCTTAAAGCTAATAACAACATTGCCAAGAGATTCTTTTGCAGATTTATCAGAGTTATAGTAGATATTATAGTAGGTGTCATAGTAGATGTTATAGAAGATATCATAGTAGGCATCAAGTTTGATAAGTATTAGTAATTGAAACCTCAAAGAATCTTTCAACACAAAAACTATAGAAGTTAATAGAGGTGAATTCTTTTTCTCTAATAATAAAATCAGATGAATATATGAAGTTATAATAAGAACTTCTTGGTTCTTTATAATATGATATTTTCAAAATACAAAGTAGAAACAATTACAAAAAACAGGTTCTTCTTTTTTTTTGACATTAAGAGTATCTTTCAATACTTTCAGTATAAATTCAAGAGTTTGGAGGATTTGCTCATCATTAAAGTAATAATTTTCAAAGACTTTGTTGATAAGTTCTTAGACTTTATTATCTTATTTCTTAGTATGATAAAAAGACCTGTACATGTTTCTTGTGAGAGAATTATATATAGGCACTTACTAATGATATAGCCTCTTACTCTACAATAAAAGCACTATGCATCTTGTTAAAGACTTATTTAGTTGATTAAAGGATTCTTGAAGCTTGTGACAGTTGTATTTTTAATATTAGAGCTTTAACTTGTCTTTAGGACTGTTTAAATATTATTTATAAGTTGACATTATACATTTTTTTGTCTTCTTAGATAAGTATTCTAAAACTTTCTTGCTTTTATTATTTATATTTCTAATTACTAATTTTTATTCTTTTTTTTTTTAATTTAATATATTCTTTTCTTTGCATTTCTCTATTTCAGAAGTTTTTTTAATTCTGTATTTTATAGTTATTACCAAATTGTTGTTTTAGAAATTAGTAAGTCTATTGCTAAACTATTCTAACTCTCACATTACCCATAACAGCTAAGTCAAAACAGATGTGTTGAATTTGGTGAGTAGATTATCTTCTGTAGATAAGTACTAGTTTTTTCTCTGTTGAGTCTTTTCTCTAATCTATTATTGTTCTAATTTTATCTTCTATTGTCTCAACTAAAATTTTACTACATCAAATTAGGGTTGAAACTTTTCTCTTTCTTTATTATAATTTACTATTCATATAACTATTTGAGTAATCAATTATAAGTTTAGTTGTTTTTGAGAGGTACTATTAGTACTAAGAGTTATTGATAATTACTAGACATTTATAGAACAACACTTTTACTTAAATTAGAGGTCAGGTAGATAGTTTATGTTTTGCAATTTGTTTTTTATTTATAATAAACTGTCTTATCTATTTATATTATGAACTTGTCTAATATATCTAATTTATCATATATATCACATATATCATACTTATACAATATAGATGATATATTAAATATATTAAATATATTAAATATATCTGACATATCTGATATTTCTAACATTCAGAATTTATAGCACATAATATCTGTCATATTTTTGAATCTTACAATATGCTAATTAGATAATTAAAATTAAAGAAAATTATATTCTGATTTAGGTAAAAGTAATCTATTACATGACTTTATTTATGTTATATAATACAAACTACTATAAAGATAGATTGAAGAAGATTTGGCTAGTTTCTTATAGAATTACATTATTCAAAAATGTATTAATAAAGTTATATATCTAAGTAATACTAAAAAAATAAATAAATAAATTTACAAAACTCATCTAAATTATTTTTGACTATATAAGAGTTTGTAAGTCTAAGATTAGTTATAACTTGGTTATAGTAATTAGTAAGAAGATCAATTAGAATTTTGATAAGATATTAGAACAATTGTAATTATAATAAGAATTTTTCAAAAAAATTAGGATTAACAGAATTATAGATCTTACTTAAGTTTTGTGATAATAATCAGAGATAACAATACTATAATTTTTTCATAATTTTTTATTTTGTTTTATTTTTCTAAGTCTTTTCTTAATTATATACTAATTACTATAATTAATTTAGCTATATTTAGTTTATCAGTTTATAAATAATAATCAGGATTAATTTAGCAAATATAACATAAATAGATAAGCATTATTATAACTTATTTACTTTGTTCTATAGTGCAACTTTGCTTATTAATAATGTGATTAATATATGTATTAATAATTGACTTTGATTAATAATGATTTATATTTATTTTCTATTTTTATTTTTATTTATTATTAATTATATGCCAGAATCTTTCTAATAAATTAGTAAGCCTTATAAGTGAACTATGCTTCTATTTTTAATGTATTTTTATTTATAAATTTATATACTTTTAAAAACTATTTAAACCTGATAAGATTTCTTTAATAAAAATTTTAAATAATTTTTTTGACAAAATTATATACAAAGTACTTTAAATAACAAAATCTTTACAACATAGTAGTAGCAAAAAGCTTTAATCATATTACATACACTTTATTTTTATATTGCACTATCTTTTTTTTTGTTTTATACTTGTTTTTTAATATTTTATTAGCTTATTTCTTGTAATTTTTCTAAACAAAGTGGCTACATTACAAGACTTAGTAAATATTATTGAACAACTTGTTATTATACAAACTGCTTTAATACAACAACTTGGTCAAATCTAACAACCTCAAACATAACAACAAGGTAGAAATAAACCTGTACCTACAAAAATTGGTATAAAATTTCTACATTCAAAGGTAAATCTATTAAAAATGTAGTAATTTGGTTATTATAAATAAAAACAATTTTTTTGGCTTAAGGACATATAGACAAAGCAACTCAGATCTACTATGCTACTACAAGTCTTAAAAATGTTACATTATATTGGTATTTGAATTGAGCTGTCTTAAATAACAACCAACCTTCTTTTACTAATTAGAATATATTTATAAATACAATTAAGAATGCTTTTTAACTTTCTAACTATTAACAGTATCTTTGTTAGCAGTTTAAAAAGCTTAAACAAACTGAAAATATAAGAGATTATACTACATAATTTCCAAACATTGTAAGTCAAATTGCAGATATGAATGCCTTGGACCAAGTATCTTACTATATCAATGCATTAAAACTTGCAATTAGAATATAAGTTATATATAAAGCATCTAACACTTTAACAGCTACAATTAAATATACAATAAGATATAATACTACTATGTTTGAATTGAGAAAACCTTTTGGAAGCCAAGAAAAATACTTTAAGCCTACTCTGTCTAACTATACAAGCAACAAAATAATGGTTCTATATCTATA